GCGACCCTCAGATTGTGAGTCGAGCGCCTTATCCACCTGGCCATGTATTTACAACTGAAAAAGAAATAGGTAACTGCCTAAGCTAAGTAGACGCAGAGTAAATTTACTGCTTTATGCCTTAGCGCTTAGTATATAACGTAAAATTAGCTAAAGATAGAATAAGGATCCGTTAGTCGTGGTCGATAGGTGCATATATTGATAGCGCTCAGTCTAACGTTCGCTTGTGAACTTATAGTTTATTATTTTTTAGAACTGTTTTTTAGTTATAAATAGTAGTGAAATAAAGTTATTTTGAAAGCCATTTAAAGGAGATTTGAAATTTTTGACAATCAAATTTTACAAAAGTGAGCATTCATGCCGTTAAGAAAACAATACTTGCAACAATTATTTTATGACTGTAGAGAGATTGTGAATACAAAAAGTTTCTGTAAAGCTAGTAAATAAAATATTGTAGGCCTATTTTAGAGGTACATAATGTTCAGGATAAAGCAACACGTTTGCCATTTTAATTCTAGAGAAGATTAATAAGCATGAATACTTTATAAAAAATGAACAAACTATGTAAACATAAGAACTACAGTAGCTTGTTTCTTCTCTATCTTTCGGCTACAAAACTACTGTTATGTTTAATCTTATAACTTTGAGATAATGTTCCAACACTGAAATCGGAATAACGACATCGGTCCTTTGCTAACGTCAATAATATATAATTACCAAACTTTCCGTAAATATTTCCATCTCAGTCTATTTAATCCTAGTACTTAGTTGAAGTTTTATGTGATATCACTTAACACTCTACAAACAGCTAACAAAACAAGCACATGTTATTTAACGAAGTAAAACGTTCAAGATGAGTGAATCAAAGTTGATTCTGTATCGAACCACTTGTTTATTAATACTAATGAAAAACGTAATCTATAAATAATTCAATTTCAAATATTATCTATGTATATCGAGTGCTAAAATAATTTTGAATAAAAATTATAATAACAGAAAATGCTGTTTATTACAATTACATACATTTACTTTTTATATCTGCGATCTGGATGAAACTTTCTTGATTTTTACACACGAGACAATTGTTCTTAGGAGCTTCTTTATCATTATGAATAATCAAAATATCGACCACACAGTAGCAACTACTCAGACCAGCTAGCTCTTTCTAATTACATTTTAGTAAACTAGTTTTCTGCCATCATGTCTGCTTATGATGTGAATGTAATGCAAGTAAGAGAAGAATGAATGAAAAGGAAAAACAAAGAGTGTACATACTATAATACATTGTTTGTGACTAAAACATCTCAGCAAGACATCTTCATGGCCAAAAAGTAATATAATTATGAAAGAAGGCCACAAGGGTAAAAACAGAGTTGGACAAGTATCCAGTTTGCTTATATTTTAAATCAACATAGCCTAATAGAACCATTCCCAAATACAAAACTAAATATTACATTTTTAAGAAAAATAATTGAAAGTTATGCCATTAGAAATGAAAACTTCAATTCAAATTGTAGATTACCATGGCCCGTTATAATGTACTCTTTTTGTCAATATTTATTGTACAAGAAACTAGATTTCCGTACTTATTGTGTTATTTTTCGTCAGCTTAGTGTCTATCACACATTAATCTTTTAATATGTTTTATTAATCTTTTGGAATACATGAATTAAATGCATTACTATTTATAATGTATAAGTTGTTTTTATCAGTCAATGACTAATTATATCGTGATGTCTTATACCGCCTAAACATTCTCTAGTACTTATTTATACATCATAGAAATTGTTGTAAAAATGTCTTATCAATAATGTACGTGACTTGATTGTTATATCTCGTTTAAATAATCATGCTGATCATCAAACTTAAGGGTAAAACTAGCTGTGTGCAAGTTATCGTTTAGATGGCTAAAAAGTATAACAAGTCTTTCCACAGACAAAGTTGTGATGAATAGTGACTATAAGCACTATTAGAGCTGTAACTCAAACTTGAAATACATCTTCATTCAATAATATTAATTTGTATGAATAAATTAAAGGACTTGAATCAACATTAATCGCAAATAATTTTCATTCAGTTAATTCAGAAAAACTGGAAATATTTGTGAGTAAATGCACATAATAAAACCTACTTCATTATTATGTAGTATAAAATCCCCATCCTTTACCTATTTCAATCAACATGAATTATGCAAATTAATGTATCATCATTCAATACAAAAGATATGATTTTTATTAGTAGTGATACTGTGTTTATGAACTACAAAGCCTTTTCGTTTAGCTTCTTTTTATGTTATATGGCGCTATCTTCCATTACTCACTCACAGACCTGTAATAAAGAATTGGCACAGAGCTAAAAAAAGTCAAATATAAACTATTTTTCTCTACAACAGAGATCAGAAAGTGGTCAACGTATTATAGAAATAGTTACTTATAAAAACAAGATAAACGGAATTTACCTGCCCAACTAACATTTCGTATAGGAGAACACCATAGGCCCACCAATCTACAGATTTTCCATATGGTTGGTATAAGATAATCTAAAAAAAAGGTAGTGAAAATAATATGTGTTTATAAGGAATATCAATACAAGAAATCTCGCTTTGACATTAACAAGGTAACTTGTATCATTGAACTCATTATATCAAAATCTCAAACATTCAATGCACTTGAAGTTAAGTCGTGTTGTTGGATGTCATTATCAATCATTTGGAAAATAATGTTTCAAATGTGACATTTACTATAAAAATATTTTTCAGTAACTATACTCTAAAAAGCAGATATGTTTAATTGAACCTCAGGTGCAATGTAGTCTGGTGTTCCACAGAAAGTCTTGGTGGTTTTGTCTCCTATGACTCCTTCTTTACACATCCCAAAATCTGCTATCTTTATGTGTCCGTCTTGATCGAGTAAAATGTTATCTAGTTTTAAGTCTCTGCAAAGGAAAACAATATCATAATGCTTACCTTCTCAACAAATATATGAGATTACCCTTCTTGTTTGTAAAACAGTGAACCAATATCAAAATGTTTTAAACGTTGAAGTCGACTTACATGAGCATGATTAAAATGCTGAAAGTCTTAGTTAAGTTCAAGATATGCAACAATAACAATACTTAGATTCAGCGCTAACACATGATATAATAATTACGATATGCTACATATTAAGGCCAACATAACTGATACCTGTATACAATTGCTCGACTGTGGAGAAAGAATAATCCTATGGCAATTTCTGCTGCATAGAATCTGGACAGAAAAAAAACGTTACGATAAGTAATTTGTAAACAAACAAATAATAAAATAAAGAAAAATACGAGAGAAAAAAACACCAGGATACACAAATAAAGTTAATTACCATTTTGCCAAAACATGTTTTACTACTTTACTGTTGGCCGAGACAAACTCAATCTGGAAATACTAACTTAAATTTTAGGAGGAGTATGTTCAAACTCTAGAAAACTACTTACAGATTTATTCAGTAACGAAATGAGGTTTAAGTTAAAAGTTACATACTTGTAGAATTGTTTGGTATTAGGAGCTCATCTTTGACCTCTTTCCAACATGTTGATATCCTTAATGCATTATAAAGTATCACAAGTTCAATCAGCGGCTCAAACGCCTCACGAGTTTAATACAAAGACATAATAATTTCATTCATATTATAAAAATTCCTATAGATGATACCAAAACCTCTGGCTACCCATTTCACTATAGTTAAACACTCTGTAGAGGACTATTTATGATTTTAATACAAAATAATTCCTAAATCCATCCCTTTTTTCACACCACCATTGCTCCTCAAGTTTCCACTCTCCAAATGCATACATTTATCTATTTATTTCCCAAGTTTTGGCCAATTCGCTAAGGCCATCAATGTATTTTTGCATAAGAGAAACTTATCAACAGAGTCATATCGTTCTAGAACTTCGGTATCCTAACTACAATATACAAGACAATAACATAATTTTTGAACAACAACGCTCGTCAAACAAATCAATGAAGTGATCACCCAGTCACATTATCTCAGTCAGAAAAACATCCAGTTATCACTCTTTGATTTTTACTACAAAGCTTATTTTCGTTGATTCGGTGAAGTTGTATACCATTGAGTGGTACCTAAGTTGTATTATAAAGTAATATAGATTCATCAGCCTCAGAATAGTTGTAACAAGAATGTATGGCCATTTAATTGTTGCTGTTTTTGCAACTTATAGAAGACCATTTTTAATATGGACGAAGTTTGATGCACTTGTATAGAAATATGTTGACATTAAGGTAGCCCCCCAGTGGCACAGCGGTATGTCTGCGCACTTACAACGCTAGAATCCGGGTTTTGATAGTCCATTGTGTAGCTATGTGCTTAATTACAAACAAACAAACATTAAGGTAAATAAGACTTATTTCTAAGAGCTTATGATTTAAAGAAAAGAATAAAATGCAATAATAGGTCAATCACACAAGAAATTAATTTTTGAATTATATCTAAATCAGATTGATGGAGTAAGTTAAGAAGTAGATTATCAAAAGTGGCATTTAAACTCTGTTTAACAAGACCTTTGACTGGAACACCTGAGAGGTTGTCACATTAGACGTGTATACATTATTACTGAATTTTTCATCCCCAGCCAAATGTTGTTAGAGTAAGCGTATACGTAAAACGTTCTGTTTTATCCTTTTTAAGTATAATATTTTAAAATATCCAAATAATGTGGATAATCATTGGGATTTATTTTGGAAAATCTGTAGTCGAATATTTTAAATCAGAAATATCTTGAACAAACTGAGGTTAAAAGAGATGTACCTTCTTGAACAAGTACATTTTCTAGTATAGATCTAAGGATTTTTTAAAACTGTATACTGTATATTTAAAGAAATAGTTCTCAGCTTTCTTCTTCTATACTGGGCCATGTAAGGCCTTGTATTTACGGTACTGGTTTTTCAATCCAAATGTTCATGGCTCTCATTCCGTTACCCTAAAAATTCATTTTACATATGACAGTAGGATCATTATATGAGTGATGGTCATATCTTACTATTCGATTAGAGTAGTCTAAGAGTTAGTAGTTGGTGCTCGTATCTAGCTGCCTTTCCTCTGGTCTGTCAGTTCAATATTATGAGCAGCTAATGAGGATATCCCTTGTGTAACTATCAGAAACAAGTCAAATCTATTCCTTTATGAAACTTTATTTTCTTCTTGGAATAACCTGTGCTCATGAGGAAGGAAATGTGGCAATAAATAACGTTCAGGTACTATTCATCTATATACTAATACTATTCATTTGATTGAATAAAAAGACCCATGTTCTACCAAGAAAACGTTTACCACACCATTACACCACCTTTACAGCATTCTTATTCAGGGCAAAACAAGCACGATCAAATGACTTTGTGGCTTTTCGACACATATTTACTCTATTATCGAGAAAGGATTGTAATGCAGACTTGTGGTAGATGGTTAGCTACTTCCGTAGAGACAAATTATAACAACTGAAAGTCACATTCTAAAAAATGACTCGAACACACTGTGTGTATATCAGAAACTACGTAGTTTTCTGAGACATTTAGTCATTATCCTAAAATAATTTTTGAGCCAACACATAAGAGCGAATTTTGAAATCACTTTGTAACTTCCACCAGGTAACTAAATTCCCTAAATTATTAATTTGGTGCTGTTGTAAGGATGAATGCTTTGAATAACGCTGTAACTCTTAGCTTGCAAAACAACAACAACAACAAATATCTATGGTACTTTATGTTTTTGCTATTTTTGCATTTAACCTAAAACGTTTTGCAAATATTGCTTTACGTAGCTTGTGGCTGAGTCAAGGACACAGTAGGTCAGTTTTAGATCCCTCCATAGCAAATTCAATAGTAAAGCTGTCGCCAGTTAATTTACTAGTGAAACAACCTCCCGTCTGTGGGAGAAGTTGTCCAGGTTTATCCATAAAAAATGACCGAGTCTGTGTTAAAGTACAATAGTCAGTTCAATAGCACCTTCACAATCTCGTACAGTCTCAGTCAATTATATGCCGTGATGTAAGCTGCTACTGTAATGTTTAATTAAAGGAGTCTGAGAAATGAAACTGTCCATTTGAATCAATACAATTGGACCCTTCTTGCTTCAGTTTAGTAAACAGTTTACAGTTTCAAGTAATTTCTTCGTATATAACTAAAAAATGTTGGTAAGGTCAACTGGGGTGAGGAATATCTAAATGACTTTTTTCACAGCCTTATACTCGTGTTGCTATTCCCTAAAATATGTTATAAAAATTAACCCTGCCAATGTTTTTCTGCTTTGCAGGACAGGCTGTATTTTGTTATGGAGTATGTGAGTGGTGGTGATCTCATGTTCCAAATACAGCACAGTGGAAAGTTTAAAGAACCTGTTGCAGTGTAAGTGTTCATATTTTATGAGTATGTGAGCTTGGTATAGAGTGGTGTTTGAAGTAGGACAAATAATACCATTTGTCATCGGAAGTTCCAACATCTATGAAGTTAGACGTACGTTACTTGTTCCTTACTTTTTATTCAAATGCAAAACAAAGTATCATTATTTAAGTGACTACGTACTTAGAAACTAGTTTAACTTAATTATGTTGATCGTGATTATGCTTTTCACTCAAAATACTTAATAATGGAACCTTTGTATGAATTATAACATCCACAAAATGTTTTATCGGTCGTACAGAGTATTAAATCTACATAGCATCATCAGGTGAAATACAAGAACTGAAGCTAACAGTATTTAGTATAATACAAGGAAATCACGTGAGTATCTCTAGCAACACTAATCTATAAAACGTGTGATTCAGCAATTGTAAACCTGATAAAGTATGTTATCAAATATAGAAATAAAGCTTCAAAGACTGAACCTAAGTATTAAAATTTGTTCTATATACAAGAAAGAGAGAGCAATTGAAACATATATAAACAAACACAATTGTATTTGTTAAAAATGGGGTTTTGGTTTTCTATTAATAGGGATTCTTTTATTTTTTTATCTGTTAATGTTATCTTCTCTACTGAGGATTTTTACTTTAGAAGGATCAAAGGAATGATTGTTCTTAGCCATGTGCTCAGAAACATGAGTAGGAGGTTTTAATTTTTTCACAAATCAATAGAAAGTTGTCTGTTTGTCTCACCAATATAACAGCTTTTGCAATCTGTACATTCAATTACATAAACTTTTCCTGGCCCAGCATGGCCAGGTGATTAGGGTACTTGACTCGCAATCTGCGGGTCGCGGGTTCGAATCCCCATCCCACCAAACATGTTCGCCCTTTCAGCCGTGGGGGCGTTATAATGTGACGGTTAATCCCACTATTCGTTGGTAAAAGAGTAGCCCAAGAGTTGGCGGTGGGTGTTGATGACTAGCTGCCTTCCCTCTAGTCTTACACTGCTAAATTAGGGACGGCTCGCGCAGATAACCCTCGTGTCGCTTCACACAACCCAAGTATA